GTTTATATATGTGAATTATCTTGGAAAAGCATATAATTGACAAAATATTTTTATAGCTAATTTAGCAATATAGATCAGATGCAGGGTAGCTGTAATCATATGCCTCTAAAGCTATAGCATTTTTGACTCCAGTGAGTTCACCTTTTATAGAATATTTTAAATGATTTCTAGTTTTGTTTTCAAACACCTACTATAACCAGCTCTTGAAAGAAAACAAAGCCCATTGATGACTTTTTTAGTAGTTTTTTTTTTAGATTTTTATGTTAATGGAGAGCAGTTCTTAAAATTCTTTTGGGTTTCATCTTCCCAGAGTTAGATGTACCTAAACATTTTTGTTTGCAGAATATCATATCACTTCAAAATTGTTCAACTTATCCAAAGTGTTACTGTCTAGTCCATCTCCCTCCAAATATACGCTGTAGGCAAACTAGAAAAAACACATTTCTCCCAGCTGGTGAGTACTCACCCAGGATAAACATTCGCAGAGCATTTTGCTGCCCTAGGCAAACTCTACCTGAGAGGACAAGCTGCCTTTGCATAAAAATAAGCAAGGTAGAGTGGATGCCTATTAGACAGGTAGAGATTAAAAAAAAAAAAGATAGCATTTCTAATTTGACCCTGTTGAAAAGCTTGACACAGCTGAACATCTATCCTAAAAGCTACATTGCTTTATTTGAACATCTGCTATACAATGAAGGAGGGGAGCAGGTGCTCTATCTAGTAGCATCATTGATGACATAATAATTTTTTTGATGTGTCCAGTTGTGCAGCAATCTGATGTGTCTGAACCAGGTTAATTATATATCATGATGTTGTCATGGAAATTTTCCGATGACATTGGTAAAGAATAAATAGTTTAATGAGGTTCCTGGCGAACCATATCTTCTCAGCATATAAATTATTTCCTTCATATAAGTTAAACACTTGGCTAAGTGGCAATGATACCAGAGTGGTTAAAAGATTTAATTCCTTGAAAGAAATCATGCATATAAAGCCTGTCCGTGGCCTGGATTCTCTGTTTGACCTCTCTGCAGGCTCTCCACATTCATCTGTATGGATGCAAATACTACAGGTGAAGAGATTGAGTTACAGAGGAGTTATGGGAATTGATGGCTAAAGTTCACTATAAATATTGTATTATCTTCATTCCCTTTTATCTTGCTTGTTTCATACCTATTACAGTGTAATTGCACTTGGGACAGTGATCAATGCAAGCCTCCTGCCTGTGTTTACTCCACATACTTGCCCAGGTCTATACCTTACTCCAGTTGAATCAGAGGATCATTAGAGCCCAAAAGAAACTTGAGAACTTGACTAGTTCTCAACATCTACGTATTAAAGTTTTTAAGTGTTACTACCTGATTTAGCTAATTCTGTAGCCCAAGCCCCTTGTGATTTTAATGCCCCTAGTATTTTTGGCAGCTAGAAGTAAATCATTTAATTCTTAATTAGGCCTTTGTGAACACGTGAACTGCTCTTCTTGCTCAATTCCTTTTGTTCTCAGGAATGCAGTCATAAGTTGCTGATGTGATTCTCTTTGTCAAGTAGGAGGAGATAACTTCAAGGTCTGAAAAGAAGTTATGAGTTTGTTTTGTAGAAGGAGAGAAAGTCTCCATGGTAGCTGCGACCAGCTTCTGGTGCCCAGGAGTCTCATACGAAAAAAAGGTTATCTGTGACTAAAGAAACACAGACTTCTCTGTCAGTTCCCTGGAACTCGCCGTCCCCTTCTTCCTTTTTAAAACTCTTCTACTTGATCCTGAACTTTGGAGATGCTTTTTGGACATTCATCCATTGTCTTCCTCCAATTACTGGCTTCCTGAATAAAGTAACCTTTCTGTTCCACCCAGTGGTCACCTCTCAAGTATTGGCTTTTGAGTGGCGAGTGGCCAAATTTGGGTTTTTGGTAAAAGTTCTGCCTCCAGGTTTTTATAAAGTATATAAATTTTCTTTTAATAGCAAGCTCCTCCTACTACAAATTTTAAAATGAGTTTGCTTCAGGGTAGTACAAAAAATGTAATACGGAAGAGTAAATAATAATGTCAAATTTTCTATAAACCTGCAATATTAATGTGTTTTGAGGTATTTTCTTCTAAACATGTTTCTGTAGACATGCATGTATACAGACATTCAAAAAGATATAGAATATGCTTCCTTTATAATATATGACCTCTATTGTATATTCAGTTCTACATAGTTTTCCTCACTTGTTAGTAAATATTTTCCTGTCACTAAATATGTTTTATATTTCATAATATTGACACATCCATTCATCTACTATTGAGCATTTAGCATATTTCCACATGTTTGTAATTATAATGAACATCTTCACTCATAGAACAATTTTAATTCTTTCTTTTTATTCTTTCTCTTTTCTGGGTCCATTCTGGATCTGACACTCAGAACTCATATAACTCCCTAAATTTCACTCTATTCAAATAAATGACAACCTACTTAATAGTAATTATCTTTCATCTACAGAGAGCTATACTTGTAGAAAATTAAAAAGCTGATTAGGTTACACTTTTTCCTCAGTTAAGCATAATTTCACCAGAAATATCAGTAGTTAATGCCTTTAGATAGTCTTAAGCAAAAACTAAGCACTAAGGATTAAAAATAAATGCTACTAAAGAATTTTACATATATTTTAAACACTAAATATGGGGATTCTTGAATTAATACATATGATGTGCTAGATGTTAATATTTAGCACGATAGAAAAATATGGTATAGTTCAAAATAAAATGATTTACTCTCAGGTACTTTCATGCTTCCCTAAAGGAGTAGGAAAAATTAAAATCTCCGCTGAAGGAAAAAAGAAAAAGAGAAACAAAAGAAAGAATTTCTTTTTTACTTAAAAATGATTTATGTTTTAAATTAAAAAAAAAAATAAAATGTTTTACATTCTCTGGCAATCATTAGAAAAAAAACTTTAGTTCAACCTTGCTGTCTCAATCCACTGGTTTTTATAAGAAGAGAGCTTGGAGGGAGCACGGAATTGGAAGATTTGTGACCTTGGACAATTTGCTTATTTTCTCTTAGTATCAATGTCTTCATCTATACAATGGTAGTTATAAGAATTGAATGTAAACCACCTCAAAGAATGTCTGACCCATTAACTGACTCCTGTTTTTAAATGTTAATGCTTTTATAAATGATAATGACAGATAATTTCAAAAGATAGATTATTTAAAATATTTGTGTCCTTGAATGAAATTCAGTGATTAAAACTGTGCTAGTAGGTAAATTGTTGCCATTTTGCCACAAAATTACAAACACATAGATAATTGAAAGATGATTGATAATACACCAAACAGAATTGAAAAGTTAAAACTCCAAAGTTAAGCAGTTCTGATGTCCTCCAGAGTACCCTAATTTCTTTATGTATAGTTAATTGACCAAAAATAATTAAAACGATGACCTAAATTTGTAGTAAACTACATTAATAATGAAGAAAGAATAAAAGATATCTTATTATTTTTATCTCTCAGTTCTTTCAACCATCAAGTAAGGAGAAAAGAGGAAAATCAAAAGTAAAATGATAGATTATCTAAAAGTTAATGGAAGGGAAAACTATCAAAAACTGTGCTCTTAAATGGTTTTAATATTAAAAAAACAAAAATTAAAAATAAATGAGCCATGTATGCATCTTAAAAACTAGAAAGAAATGCATCAAAATTAATTAAAAGAACTTAGAAAGCAGATGTTAATAAAGATAAGATATTAGTGGAGTAGAAAACACAAGAAAAAAATAAACAGTATGATGGAAATCAACAGCTAGTTCTTTTGGGGCGGGTGTTAATCTATTTAAACACTAGTGCATGACAATCTTGACTGAGGAAAATTAGAGAAAGTACAAATATAAAAAAACATCTAAGTTCTAACCTTTTGAAAATAGCTCCTCCTACTGCTATTAAGGCTTCATAGAGAAAGAGTAAGTGGTGGTCAGTTGTCCAATTCCTTTTATGAAATCAGCATATATTTAATATCAAGCACCTGGTAAAGATGCTGTATTAGTTTGCTAGGGCTGCCATAACAAATTACCACAAACTGGGTGGCTTAACAGAAATGTGTTGTCTCGCAGTTCTGGAAGCTAGATATCTGACATTAAGGTGTTGGCAGGGTTGATTCCTTCTGAGAGGTCTAAGGAAAAGATCTGTTCCAGGCCTCTCTCCTTAGCTTATTGGTGGACCTCTTCTGGTGTCTCTTCCTATGGTCTTCACTCTGTACCTTCTCTGTATCCAAATGTCTTTGTTTTTATAGAGGTATAAGTGATATTGGATTAAGGCCCACCCATAATGACCTCACTTTAACTTAATTACCTCTGTAGAGACTCTACCTCCATATAAGGTCACATTCTAAGATACTGGGCTGATTGAGACTTCAACATATGAATTTCGGGGGACACAATTCAAACCATAACAGATGCTCTTTTTCTTTGATTAATCAGTCATTTGCTTTCGTGAAGTTTATCCTAATAAAAGGTTGAAAGAGGCCACACCCTATTACTTTTATAAAAGCTTTTAAACATTACATACTTTTAGAGCTAGAATGGATCATAGAAATCTATTCTAACAATAGCTTTATTCTATTTCCAAGGAAAAAGCTCAGTAATATTGGGTGACTTTCCAGTCATTCAGTTATATCTTGGCTTTCTGGTATTACCTCTTCCAATTCTTCACGTCTCTGGAGGACTGTGCTAGGTTGATGCTGGAGTAACAGACTTGGAGATGTGACACTCCTAGGTACTTGTTCTTTTCAGCATTATGCCTTCCTATCAGGTACTACTTGCTTTGGGCCTGGTCAGATAAGCAGCCACTGTTGCCTCTGGCTTTTTTTCCTCTACCTTCACAAAGCTGCACTGGAATATTTATGCAACTTGGTGTTTTGGTTTTTATTAATACTTCTTATGGGAATAAACTGTCACAGAATTGTCCTTGTGTCTTTTTACTCTTTTAGGCAATATCGAAAGCTTATTTTAATTGATTTTGATTCAAAGGTAATATTTTCATACTAAATTGCTATTTATTGAAGGTGAAATGTTCGGTGGTTCTCAAACCAAAGATACAGATTCAATAGATCTCTGGTAGTCCCAGACGTCTCTAGTTGTAGCAGGTATCCTAGTGATTCTTTATGTAGTTTTCACACACACCTGGAACAATAACAAAAAAACTCTGCTTTAAATCAACACATGGATCATCAATTTTTAAATAGCTGCTACAGAGAATGATTATTTTATATCCCAATAATATTATATTTTATCAAATCTAATTTTTTTGTTATTATAAGTCATATCATTACTTTATGTATTACTAATAAAGAATAAAACATTGTCAATAAACAAAGACACAGAGTCTTAGAGTCTCTCTGGACCTGTGAATTATTCATACCAGCAACACATCATTTTGAAATTTTTATTCAAAGGGATTTAGCAGTTTCTTCTGCCTTCAGTTGCATTACTGGGCCTGTGCTAGGCAAAACTTTTACCTGTACCACAGCTTCTTCCACTTGTGGTTACCTTTCTTCTGTCCTCTAATGCAATAAAACGCTGCTTTCCGAGGAAATCTGAAATTGCTGTTATTTCTCCAATAATGAACATCTACTTCATTTATAAATACATACCCCACACCTATTTATATGCTATCTTTGTATGCAATGACTTTTCTTTTTAAAGCCAAATCGTAGCGTGACTTTTTAAAAACTGTAGGTTAAATAAAATTTTTTTAAATGGCGGTTGAACTCAACATGATATCACTCAAAAATTCTCTCTCTCAACTGAAGAGACAGTATGAACCGCTATGACCAAGTCCATGCACGTACTGTCATTGACTACTATGGTTGTGAGTGCTGCCTTGTGTATAACTATCATAAGGTGTGGTTAATTATAGATACATCCTGAATCAGCTGTGAAAATGTGTGTGGAGGAGGAAGAACTTAGAATCTGTGTAATATAGTAATAAAACAATTTACAATGGAAACTGTCCTCATGGTAGATGCTAGGGTAACACAATGAGCTAGAGTGTGCTTCCTGGACCAGCAACATCAACATCACTTGAGAATTTGTTATAAATGCATATTCTCAGGCCTCATCCCAGACAGACTGAATCAGAAACTCTGGAGATTGGGTCCAGCAGTCTGTTTAACGAGCCCTTCAGGGGATTCTGATACACACTCATGTGTAAGAACTGAACCACTAGGTTATAGTAAATGGGAAGTCAAGGG